GGCCGGCCCGGCATTGTTACATATTTACGTATGAGAAAACTGCATCTTAGTGTGGAAAAGCAAATAGCTCTGGATTCAGATTCAGACTTGCTTGACTCCAGAACCCGCAGAACTACCCACTTAGCAGGATAAAGCCCTGAGCGAGACCAAGGCCCCTGCACCTGAAGTGCTTATCAGTGTAACTGTGGATTTTCCGACAACTATGTAAATGGTGGAAGTTAAGACAAAAACATAAACAAGGTCCCAAGTAGGAGTCTGTTTATAAATGGAGGAAGTTCCTGCTCCAAGGTCACATAGGGGGGGATCAGCATCTGCTTTATTGTGAGCTGGTCCTAGAAGAGATCGTTAGTTTTAATGGGCAGGAGTGAGGGCAGGAGATGGAGAGAGAGACAGGCCTGCTAAGCCAACAGAATGCCACAGCAGGAGTCAGTGAGAGCTGTGTCTTCCCAGCTCTGCCACTTGGTGGCTCTGTGACTGGGGAACTTAGCGATGTCTGCCCTTCTGTTGTGTAGGGGTTGTGAGAATTAGAGATTATGCGTGTCCAATATCTCCATACATGGTGCTATTATGATGATGTCTCCAGGTAGCTTGGAGTAAGAGGTACAGAGGAGAAAAATATATGCCCTACTTAAGGGCATGCATCAGAATAAAAATAAAATAGGAAAAAAATTGAAGTAGTGAAACAAGACAGAAAATGTGTCTCTACATACACACACGTGCCAGTGCATGAACATGAACTCAGACACGTAACAAAAACACAGAAATATTTTATCGGTGTCTTGGGAGTGGGCGGGGCTGGAGACCATTTTCACTTTTAGGAATGAAAATGTCAGTGCTTTGCCAACTGCTTTCTTTTTCCATATCTGGAGACCTACCAGGACAAGAAAAAGAAATACCTCCCTGTCTTCAACTTTTTCAGTTGGACATTAGCCAACCCCCATGAAATATGGGGTCTGGTCAAGGGGCCTGATCTCAGAAATGTAGCATATTTCTCATGGCCACAGGACCAAAAAAAAGCACTCCAAAACAAGCAGCAACCCAAAAAAACAACATATTGCCATCCTGCAAAAAAATCTAAGTGTGCCGAAAAAACAACAACATATGGCTGGGTGGGGTGTGACCAAAAGGAATATAGTTATCACGTTTTGAACATTCCTTTTGCAGACTTGAGTGAAAAGAAAATTTCTAGGACAGAACATGGAGTCGTCCCAAAGCCTGTCTTTTTTGAAAGCACAATCAGGGACAGGAAAAGGAAAGAAGGATTTGTACCAGGTGAGTTACAGCGGAGAGCCAGAAATGGAATGTCACCCTTGACCCAAGAATATGCTGAAAAGAACCAAAGCAGACAGAAGGGGAAGAGAGAAGGTCGGAGTGCTGCTTTGTATCCAGAGTGCTGTTGAGATTAAAATAGAGAGAGGAATGAAATGTACTTGAACATGCTCATTATCAACACCAAAGTCACAATATACACTGATAATAGCTCTGGGGTGCCATCATTATGTACCTGGAATCTAGGTTTCATTTGAACAAAACAGAATCAGCTTCAAGTGCAGCGCTCTGCTGGGGATCTCTATTATATAACTGTTTCATAACTCAAGGTGATGTCACACAGCAAGGCTAGAAGAGTATGGGCTAGAAGAGTTTTCAAACTTTGGGACTTTTGCCATTTATCCGAACCTAGCTTGTTTACCAACTAGTTACACAAACCAAGAGTAACTTACAACTGAACCCCCTCTCTATAGATTGGTATCTCTCTGGGTCATTTATTAGTTCGGTAGGAAATTACGTAGCATCTCTTTTATGTCAGGCCTGGAGATAGATGCACAAGAAAGATTCCTGCCCCCAGTGAGCTCACGGTCTAGGAAGGAAGGACTTATCATTAAACATATCATTAAAATTTACTACTTGTAGCACGATCACAAGCATCCACTACAATTCCAATGAATAGTAATAATAATAATAATAATAATAATAATAATAATAATAATAATAATGGAATGCTCTCTATTTTAAAACTGATCTCACCTGTCCTTGCTTCTTTTCTGCTCCACCCCAGCTCCTGCTTGATGGTAGAATAAAGAAATTACATTTGTCCATTCAAGGCAGCGTTTCTCAACCTGTGGGTCATGACCCCTTTGGGGGTCGAACAACCCTTTCACAGGGGTTGCCTAAGACCATCAGAAAACAAAAAGATATTTACATTACGATTCATAAAGTAGCAAAATTACAGTTATAGAGTAGCAACGAAAATAATTTGATAGTTGGGGGTCACCACAACATGAGGAACTGGATTAAGGGGTCGCGGCATTAGGAAGGTTGAGAACCGCTGATTCAAGGTATCTCGTTGTGTTTGGCTATAAACAGGATCTTTAAGATAAACACATTTTGTTCTGGATAAATATCAATTCAGGGGAGTTGTCCAGGTGCACTTGGCCTGCTATAGAAAAACCCTGCACACTGGGTAGTTTAATAACAATCAAATTTTTTTCTTACAGCTCTGGGAGCTGGAAAACCCAAGGCCAAGTCACCAGCATGGCTGCCTTCTTGGCAAAAGCCCTCTTCCTGGTTCACTGTGTCCTCATCTGGTGGAGAGGACTGGGGAGCTTTCTTGGGCTTCTTTTGTAAGGGCACTGGTTCCATTCAGGAGAGCTTTGCCCTCATGACCTATTCACCTCCTAATACCATCAGCTTGGGTGTTAGTTAGGTTTCAACTTAAGAATTTGAGGGGGACAACAGCATTCAGACAATAGCAGAAGCTAAATATAGTCACGTCTGTGTTCCCTGCCCCTCACTCCCAGCCCTTCTGTTGTCTTCCTCTCCAGCAGACTGATCATTTTGAAGTGGGCGAGGGAGCAAGTGATTGAGGGGTAATATTCAGGTATCATTTTGTTCTATGAGGGGAAGAATATCCGATGCCCACCTGCAATGTCTCTGCAATCAATTCTGTACTGGTCACTGGGTGTCCTGTGCAGGTTCATTGAGTGGTCACCCCTTTGGACATCATGGACACAGCTGTGGCCGAGGCCTAGAGTTCCTGTTATCTATGATCTCCAAGTCCCATCCCTGGGCTTTCACAGTCCCTAGTGTCTCTTAGCTTTTTAGCGTTCCCTGTTGGGGTCCTGGAAATACTGGCTCTGCGAATGTGAATGGGGCTGAAGTCTAGCCCCCACCCTCCTTGAGTAGATGCCTTCCTCAGTCATTCTGAACTACCCCCTGGGTCACACCATCTTTCTCTGAACATGGAAATCCCCTAAGAGGCTTGACATTTTCTGGTCATTTCTAATTACACATTCCCACAGGTTCAGCACCAAGGTGAGGGAATGCTCACATCTGAACAATTACCCTCCGTTCCTCTCTCTAGCTCCTTATCTCACTGGAAGTGTTTTCAATATTCCTGTTTGACAGGAACTGCTCCTCTGTTGTGTCCTGACTTAGATGGAATTTGCACTCTGTTTCCATGAAGCAACATGTAGGAGTGGCTACAAGACAAACAAGCAAACATATCAGTAAAATACATCAGGAGATATTTAAAACATAAGGACTCTATAACGGTGATATGATAGATAAGAATTTTTGAGGCAGGTGCCCTACCAATTCTAAAAATACATTGTTTCCATTCTTGATTTCTACCCCAAAGTGGCATTTGGAAATAGCTGCAACTGAAACCATTTAAAACGGAAATGGAAACTATTACCATACAACTTTTCAAAGATAATTACAAAGCCCACTGTCATCTCACGAAGCCCAACGTCTTCAGCTGCATAGGGACTTTGTGTTTTAACACCACAACTTTTAGTATTAAAAAATTGCAGTGTTCGAGAAAAAAATATTTATTCCAGTTAGATTCAATTATACTAACAGTGTCAGGTCACAATTTCAATATGACCTTGCCTCTGCCCATCAAGTCTAATTCTCCTGCTCTTGAATTTGGGCAGGGTTGTGGCTGCTTCAACCAACAGAGTACAGTGGAAGGGACACTGAGACTTCCCAGGCAAGGTCATAGGAGGTCATGCATCTTCTGCCTTGTCTGCAGGGTCACTCACATTTCCTGAGTTCCATGTAGGACATCCAACTACCCTAAGGCTGCCATGCTATAAGGAAGTCAAGCTATACAGAGAGGCTAGGGGAGGCACTCTGGTCAGCAATCCTAGTATTTGAGTCATCCTAGCCCAGGCACCAGACACGTGAGTGAATGTACCTTTGGATAATTGCAGCACCCAAACATGAGGTCAACCCCAGCCTTTGGGTCTTCCCACCTGCTCCCCAAACTATCCTCACTATTCCCTATCCAAATTCCTGACCCACAGAATCTGAGCATAAAAAATATGATTGCTTTCAACAAACCAAATTAGAACAATATGTTATGTAGCTTTGGTAACTAGAACAATGACTTAACATATGTTTGCATATTTTCAAAACTGTGTCAGTCAAAGACTTAGGAACCAGAATCTCTTTATTGAATACACAGCCTAAAGTGAGAGTGAACCACTGAATTATGTTTTATCTATTGAGAAACACTGGAAAAAAACCTTGTGTTTCTGTGAATTGCATAACCCAGACTTTAGTGCATGAACATTATGTAAAATTTTGGACAATTTGATTTGGGGGTAACCCAAGTAAAATATCTACCACAACTAAAACCAGATGATATCTGGTAGGGGAGGGGAGACTATAAATATCATTTTTTTTTTGGGGGGGTCTCAAATAAAGATCTGCAGAAATACCTAGAACTAAGTGCATATTAGGAAACTTCTAATGAGGAACACATTTACAGAGCACAATTTCTCTCCATTAATTTGAACTAGAGAGGGCAGAGTAAACTGCATAAAGGTTTGACTAATGTTTCCATTAAATTGAGAAGATTTGCTGTGTATTTGGAGGGGATGAAGGTGGAAGGAAAGGCTCTGCCTTCGCCTGGGTGGAGCTTGCTCTCTGTCAAGAGTCTGGAAACTTTATATTCTGAAATTACTGATTCTAACAATGGGAAGGAACTTCCCAAATCAAGTGGACTCTGCTTCCGCCTTTCTTGCTGTGTTTCATTAGGCATTTTTATAGACATGGACTAATGAACTGTGACAGGCCAGGAATATATGTAGTCTTGGGATTAGGATGTACTATTCGTTCTGTGATATAGACGAGCCCTGTAAGACTCCTGGGAAACCAACTCTAATCATAACAGAACTGGCCAAAGAATCCAACCTAATTCATTGCTAAATTAATCCCTGCAATGTGAGAGATAATGGCCATCGCACTAAGAACCCAAAGAGGAAATGGTGTAGATGATATAAAGGAATAATTGCACTAGACAGTGATTCCTGTGCATATCTTTATGATAACATTTATTGCATTGTGCAGAAATTGTCTACATATGTGTCTGTCTCCTTAACTAGGGAAAACATTCTGTCTAACTCATCTTTCTATCCACAGCATTGGCATAGATTTTGGCTCAGAGAAGGCACTCAATAAATGCCCTGTAAAAATAATTGAGCCTGAAATAAAATAATAGAAATAAAGGCATCTAGATGACCCAGGAATTTTGCAAGTCAGAAACCTGAGACTTGTCCTGGGTGCCTCCTTGCTTTCTCTCAACTCCCACATCTACCTGACTGCTAAGCCCTGATGTTTCTCCCTCCTAAATCCCTCTGCTTTCCTGTCCTTTCCCAGGTCTACTGCGTAAGTGACACGCTGATTGTCTTTTCCCCGGGCTGCCGTAACAGTCTCCTAATGGTCCCCGCCCACTATCTTGCCTACCTACAGTTCTGTCACCACCACTGTCACAAGAGAGATGCTTCTAAAAGTCAATCTGCTTATGTCATTTCACTGCTTCAAAACCTTCCAGGTCTTCCCTTTGTCTACAGGACCAACTCCAAACTTCTTTGAATAACAATCCAAAACCCTGATGTGATCTGCAGCCACTTCTTCAGGCTCCTTTCCCAGGTACATCCACATTCCTCCTTACGCTTGTTCAAAATGATTCTCTTTCAGCTCCACCAATGTTGTTGTAAATGCGCATGTCTTTGTAAGTCCTGTTCTCCTGGCTACGAATCCACTTCCTTCGTCCTTCTCCCCAGCCCTATCTTTAATATGTCTGGCAAAGTTCTACATATCCTGCAGGGCTCACTCAGGCAGAGCAGATGACCGTCTACGTACCATCACTGTACTTTTACTTTATCATGTGAAGAGAGCATAGCTTGAAGTACAAGATGGTGACCTGTGGTCTGAGGCTGCCTCTAAAACTTACCAAACACTTACTAAGACTTGGCCAAGTGCTTAATGTCTTAATGACTTAGTCTTTTATCTATAAAATAAATCTTCTGGGCCATGGGGGGCTGATTTCGTGGCAGCCCCAATGCCTATCTTGCATTCTGCTAGGGTTTGGCCAGTAGGAGGCTCTGTCAGATGTTTTGAGGCTTGGGGGAGAGTGAAGATAAAATGGGTTCTGGACCCACAATTCCAAAGTATGTGTGTGGTGGTGGGGGGAGGTGGGTGGGGGATGGGTTTACTCACACCAACAAGCAATTCTTAGACACAAACTGGGTGTCCTACCATTCTACTCAATTCTGACACTGTCTACCTGGATATAGTGTCAGATCCCACAGGTTAAGGGCTCAGTCCCACAAGTGTGCCCCACCCCCACTGCAGATGCCAGTTGCAAGGCCAGGTTGTCACCTGTGTTTCTGACAGGCTGGCTATAGACTGGAGGTCCTAATGACCCCCTCCATGGGTTTGGTTAGTTTGCTAAAGTGGCTCACAGAACGTTATTCACTAGATTACTGGTTTATTATAAAAGGATACAATTCAGGAACAGCCAGATGGAAGAGACGCATAAGGCGAGGCATGGGGGAAGGGGGCAGAGCTTCTGTGATCAGAGGGCACCACTCTCCCCAAATCTCCACGTGTTCACCAACCCGGAAGCTCTCTGGAGTCCATCCTTTAGGTTTTTATGGAGGCTTCATTACATAAGCATGATTGATTAAATCATTGATTATAACATTCCAAACTGCTAATCACAAAGTTGGCTCCAGGGGCAACCAGCCCCCATCCTTTGGTGGAATCCAGTAGCCACCTGATTTACATAACAAAGCCACCTTGATTCTTTCCTCACTTAGGAAACTCCAAGGGTTTTAGGAGCTCTGTGTCAGAACAGGAAATGAAGATCAAATATATATTTCTTATTATAAATCACAGTATGTCAGAAGGCCTGGTATTCATTTCTATGTTTCTCCTGTTAGACCCCTTTCCCCAAGGCCACAGCTGCTGTAGGAAGGCCTTCTATAGCCTCAGCTGTTGTTTCTGTGTTCCATTACCATCCTCTGCCTTTCTCAGGCTCCCTCTCTTGGTCCATTCTCCGTCCTGTGTTGGTTTTCCTTACCCCTGCCCACCCCTTTGTAAATCGACCCTTTGTTAGACTCTCCTCAAGTTTTCCACTTGAGAAGATCACCTGTTTCTTACCAGGACCCTGACTGGTACATCCCCCCTAGTGGGCTGTGAATCTTTAAAGGCTAGGCTGTCATTCAATAGCTGTGTATTCTAGCGCAGTACCTGATGCAACATAGTTGGAGTTAAATTTACATCTCTGAATTAATTAATTAGGAGCAGACAGGAATGATTAACACTTTGGAGGAGGAGGAATTAGACAAGGAAAGACTTCAAAGAGGAGGGGGTTTTTGAGCTGGGTTTGAAGAGTGTTCTGCAGGAACATGCCTTACAAAGAAACTAGCTTGTGCAAAAGTACAAGGCATGCTGGTGTTTGGGGAACAAGTAATAATTATTCCTGGAGCACAAAGCATGTTGGGCTCCCATATAAGCTGTCTTTGGTACAAATAATTCTGCTGCTATTACAAAGTTTGAAATTACGGTCTTAGTCAAGCTGCTCACTTTATAGATAGAAAAATTAATATCTAGTAAAGGATAAAGAATAAATCTAGTAAAGAACTGTCCAAGTTCACTGTAAGCCCTTTGGAGCAGTGTTCAGTTCATTTATGACGGTGAAGTTCAGGTCTCTTGACTCCATCTGCTACCTCAACTATACTGAGCCCTGGAAAACCAAAGAATTTGAGCCCCATGGGGTGAAAACAGACACACTACAGACCCTGAGGCAAGCGCATTAATGGGGTCAAGCTCATTGCTTTGTTAGAGGCATGGCTTGCCAAATGGAGTTGGCTGCGCAGGGAAGGCCCTGGGGCAGAGCCCTTGGGAAACTAAGGACATTGCATTGCAACAAGCAGACACAATTAGGCCACAATTCCACCCTGCATGGTTCCCCTCACCAGAGAGCTGGCCTTGGAGAGTCAGACAGCAGGCATGTAAGATGCAGCCACTCGGTCCAGTCCTAAAGGTCCATGTCCTTGCTGAGGCGGAGCCACAGAAACTTGAGAGTCCACTATCCAAACAGCAGGACAGAGGTCCCTGTAGGAAACCACATACAACACTTGCTCTTTGTAACTGCTTTCCTCCGTGTGCTCTCTAGGGGTGACTTAGAGAAAAAGGGAGTCAACTGATGTCACTAGCAATGTGGCAGTAGTGACCAAATCTGCCTCCCTTGACCTTGTATAAGCTGAAGTGTGTGGGTTATAACAGGTGCTCCACTGAAAGGCTGAATGAATGAATGAATGAATGCATAAATAAATAAATAAATAAATATCTTGTACTTCATCTGTGAGCTATT